GAAGGGTGTACAAATGCAGAAGCAGCATCAGGCGGGAGCAGGCAGCCGGCAGCAGGCATCGCAGTAAAGATTAAAATCAGAATGACAGTAAACAGCGGCAACAGCAGAAATGAAGAGCGAAAGAAAATAATGCAAATTCAGATGGGTATCACAAGTTGAAGTTCTTGGATAGGTGGCTAGGGTCGAGGGGTCGAGGGCCGGACACCCAACAGACAAACGCCAGGACAAATGAATAGGCAAAATGTATAGAGATGAGGATGACTATGACGACTATGACGACCATGAAGCATTCATCAGCAGCAACAATGCGCGTTACATGGCACAAAACTCCATGGTTGCCCCCCACACCCGACCGCTCCTCTAGCTAGAGCAGGTCGTTGACCCATTTGGTGTGCAACTGACAGCCGCATAGATAGCCAGCAAGTGGCATTTTGGCCTTGCCCAGGCCCTGGTAGCTGCGCTATAATGAAAAGATGCAACTGCCAGAAAGGGTAAACTTGTCAGTCATGATGGGAGTGACAAGCGCTCCAAAAGGAAGCTCACCAAGTAGGTGGAAATATCCCCTCTAACTACTTACATCTCTCTGGTCGTGGAAATACTACAAGTTTAGCATGCTTTCATAACTTCAGATTAGTTGCACCGAGTTTATATAATTTTTAACTACCTTTACAAAACAATTATTAGAACAACCAGCTTACATCAAGGCCAACTTTTCTTACTGTGTATTTACAACAATTCAAGTTTAGTTCGGATAACGATTGCGAGTCGAGTTGAGCAAACAGCTTAAATTGTTTTCATATTGTATTTTGAGCGCTTATTGTTTGCGTGCATCCTTCGGCTTATGGTTTTTGTTTCTCTCAAAAGATTATGCGTTATGCATTCACTTAGTTCAGCTTGGCACGCCCCCGTTCTCGGTAGTACCCTTTTGACATTTGCATAGAGCGAACCAATTCTTTGGCTGGGATTTTATTTCTTTTTCGGTTTCGGTTTCGGATTCTTTTAGTCCGATTTCCATTTGCACAACAAATCATTTAAAAAGGGTATCCGTCGCGTCGGTAAAATATCAAAGCAAATACCAAAAATTAGAGAATCGTTTTGCTTTTAAGTCGTCGCAGCTTTAAAATGCTTTCAACATGTTACCTTATGTCCTTCGCCTGCTACCTAAACGAGAGGCCGCACTTTGTTTTACACATAATCTTCATTATAATTTCATTGTCTTTTGGCTGCCGTCCAGACATTCACCGGTTTTTGTTGTTATCGCACCTGTTACACTTCTCTGGGGCATTTCGCCTTTTTTGAAGGCCCTCGAAACTGGCCCGGCGCTTCGATTTTATGGCCCTCATTAAATGCTGTGCTGCGCTCTCAGGTATTTCTGCTGCGGAAAATTCATTCAGTTCAGCATTTTCATTTTATTCATTTTTCGTCGTAGGGCGTCACGAACGGGCTCAACAGCGATCGAATACCGGAATTTAGAGTTCCTACAAAATCTTCACCCAAGTAAGCAATTGAGTGTGATTTATTCAGATATCAGCAGGCGATTTAAGTGGAATTGAAGAGTTATCATAAATTGTTTTAAAAAATAACCAGTAAGTCTGAGTCTTTCATTATCAGCATACCCGCCCGTAAGCAGGTTTTCAGCTGTTGCTCAAGACTGAATTGAAAAAAAAAACGTCTCAAAAATACTCAGATAACAAAGCATATATAATCGAGGACCCAACTATTGGATCCCGCGATCTCTGTGAAAATCTGCAAAATGTTTTCAGTAGAACGGACAAATTTTTGTATTAATATCTTTTAAATATTTGGGAAACAAAGGCTCGAAGCACATCCAATGTTTATGGTTGTGGAAAACCGAACCACCAACCATTGTTGTCGGGGGCATGCAGCAGCCCCTGAATTTGAGCCAACCCTATTCATTCATTCGCAAATGGCGCATCAATTTGGTTGGCATTTAAACAAATTTTATATTTTTGTGCGCCTATTTCGCGTTTATTATTTTCGTGGCAAACAGTTCAAAGCCAACGTAAAAGCCAAACAAAACAGACGGGCTTACCGTTTAATGAATTTTTATCTGAGAGCGACGCTTGGGCCGACGCCGACCCCACCCTCTTGGGGGGGTCATAAAAAGGGTTCACAGACGATTTGCTCGAATTAATTGCGCTGCCATTAACGAACTGAGTCAGAGACAGGAACGTCACTTGGTTCTGCCCCTGTGCCACCCAACCCCTTGAACATTTTTGCCGAAATTACGAGTATTTGTGTGTAATTTGTTTTCGCCTTTGTTCACGGCCTGAACCAAGAGAAAAGCAAATTACAAAACGTGTTTTTTTTTTAGCTCTCTGTTTCAGTGCAATATTTGTTTATTTGATTTTATTAAGCATGGGGGAAGTCAACAGGAAATGCAAAATTGAATTGGGGTTAGCAATCGTAAAGCTTCACATACAGCAACAGGTTTCATTTAATTGAATATTTTTCTTTTTCATCGTATTTGTGCAAGCTTTCGAGGCCGTCGAAGTTTAGTTTTATTAAAAAAAAAAAATTACGCTTCTGGGTGTATAAACAACAGAAAAAGCATTTATTAATACGCTCTAATTGAAGAAAGTTGATTGGATTGACGGAAAAGGTCAGAAAGAGTTTCGTTGCACGAATAGAAATAGAGAATGCCAAAGTTCACTGGCAGATTGTATCATTACGGTATTCAAATCACTTCCACAAAAAAAAAACTTAGCATTTTGCCTAAAGCCAGTTTTTTATTACGGTTGGTATTGTTTAATATTTCTTCATTAAGACCTTACAAATTGATCAGATATCTGTGCAGCATCAGATAAATTTGTTGATCATTAGAACTACAAATTTTATGATTTCCCAATGTTTATCAAGACAAGGCAGCCTCGAGCAGATCGACGAAAAGATACATTTAGCATAGATACGAATCTAGTGAACATTAAAATGAATACCTTGTAGTGGGTGCTCTTAAGGTATCATTAACAAGCAGTTAGCTTAGAATTAAGTTTTAAAATATAAATATTCAAGACAAACAAAAAACAAGTGATCTCAAAATGAAGCAACCGAACGCTAATTAAGTCTGCTTGCTTCTCTACTGCAAGAATTATCAAATGAAGCACTTTAGACTATTACAAAATTGGTTGCATTTAAGTTAAGGTTTCATAGCTGTAATCATAGTGTATCGATAGGTAGCTGCTTTTAATGACCATCATCAAGATTACGCCCTCAACATCAAGTTCATCCTGTAGCCTATAATTATCTACTACATCATATTCAAATTCTCGCCCCAAAACAATAAATGATGAGAATGCAATTAAAGATGCCGTAAAAGCGGCTCGCGACGAGTTCACTCAACTATTCAGAGTCATGGATTTGATTTCTTAATTTCTTATCGGGGCGATTACCTAACATCCGAACGGGTTCGAATTTCAGAACCGAGTTCGACAATCGACAGAGCCCTAACCTAAGACACCACTTGGTCAGCAATCAGAAAAGTTGCCTAACCGGTCAGAGTGAAGACAGTGGGAGTGGGGGGAGGGGGGGAAAGTCTCACACAATCCAGTTAATCCCGACATGGCAGCTGCATCTCATAAAAAGAAAAAAAAACATCGATGAAAGAAACCCTTTTTGAGTGACCGAAACAAAGCCAAAAAGATTTTTCCAGTCTCAATCCTCTCGCTTGGAATTTTTATTGTATCCGCATCTTTATGGGCGTTTATTAATTACCCATCGAGGCATTGATTTTCAGAGGAGTCTTGCGATGTCGGCGACGGCGGCAGCGCTTTTATCACGAGCCTCTACCTAAAAGCCTCCAAATGACAAATCCAAGGCGTTGAATTAATTTGTGTCCAGGGGAATCGCAGTCGAAGTCCACATTTGCGCGTATCTCTTGACGAGGCTTTTCGATAAAGCGTTTAGTTTTAGTCGTCTCTCCGCTGATAAATCGAAGTCTGTTAAAGCTTCGCCTTCAGCAGTTTTGCCCGCCAGTTGCATTTCATTATTGATGACCGGCTGTCGGGCAAATGACCAAAATAAAGATAAGCTTGGGTCCAACCTGGCTCTGGAACCTGAGAAAATGCAACCGTTGGCCGCGATAAGAACAGCTACCTCAACTACCCGCCTGTCCACACATTTTGGGTTCGGAAATTGAAAAAGCATTAACAATGCGCTGCTTGGCCGTAATGAGCTGCCCGCCTGTTTGCCTTCAACTTGAAGGTATTTCACAGCTTGTAAGGGGAACCGCGACGGGGTAAAGGTGTGAATATGTGAGAAATGCTCGCGATAAGGCGCGCATCTAAAAATTTTAATTAAGCTTCTGAGGCTTTAAGGATTTCACTTTAAGTCGCCTGCCTTATTGTATCACCCTACAATCTGAGTGAAGGCGTATCCTGGCTTGCCCACCGAAGCAAAAATCTTGAGCGCTTGGCTGATGATATGACAACAAAGCGTTGAAGCGTACCGGCGACTGGCGTGCGCATGCCCTGAAAATGTACTGAAAATACAAAGGGTATTATGGATGGCAGATGGTCATTTTTATGCCGTTTAAGGCATAAGCAGGGCAATAATATTTCAGTCATAGTTCTAGGGTATCTGCAATTTGAATGAAAAATTAATAGTATGATGAAGGTTAGTATAAAGTGTTTGTTATTCTGAATTGTTAGAGCCAAAAATCTTAACTGAATATTATTTAGTATCTTCGACAATGGCCGAGTTCATACAAATGTGTCGATTGAATGGCAGCCCATTCTATTGGTACTCTGGACCATGATTGTTTGCATTCGGCGAAAATAGCGAAACCTGAGCTCTTTGGGAACGAGATGACCGTCATGGGCTAAAATTACAATCTCGATTCTAACGCTGATCTGTTATGAAGGCAGCAAACTTTTAAAGAAAGCTGCGTTAGCCACCTAGTTTTCATATCTTTTTCAGCATTTCGCAGCAATCGCTAATAAAAGATGAACAAACTCGACTGTTCAAATCGAAGAAAACCACAATATTAATGAAAATCTTTGCGTTTGTATTTGTCTAGATCGTAGAAGGATGTCATCACAATGCGTCCGCTAAACTTGCGGCCACTCAATGCGTTCAGTGCCTTCTTACAGTCTTCGATCGACTCGAAGCGCACGAAAACCTTGCCACAGCCGGTTTGGGGTGGATCGCCAATCGGACGTGGAATTTTAAGACTTTTCACTTTGCCATATTTGGCACATTCCTGCTTAATATCCGTGCGTATGTCCTCATACTCATCATTGTCCAGCAGCTCACTTGGCAGCACCATGTTCAGCAGGCATAGCACCTCGGTGGCCTTGCAAGTGGAGACATCGATGGGAAAACCAGGCACCTGCAGCACGGGTAACTGACTGGCCACCATGTTCCGTACGCCGGCAATGGAGCGCTGCACTACAAGCTTTCGATCACCTAGCTGCATGCCATTGAGACCGGCAATGGCTTGTTCCGTAATGGACGGATCTAGATATTCGCAAAAGGCGAAACCCTTGCTCTGGCCCGTGATGGTATCCTTCACCAGATTAAATCCCCGCAGCTGGCCAAAGGTCACCAGCAGCTCTTTCACTTGCTCCTCGTTCAAACAGGTGGGCAAACCACCAATGTAAATTTTATGCGGCGAATCTGGCACCACTGGTGAAATGGGTAGATTGCTGGCATGGATTTGCGTCGCTCCCTTGGCTATTTCAACTATTTCCGCGGTGGTTATTGAGGCAACCGGATGATAGTCATGCGGTCGTCGTATCTTGAGTGTCTGGCCACGATAGCTAATACCGTCAAAGGTAATGGCCTGGGTTGCTTCATCCATGGAACGGAACTCGAGAAACGCAAAATTCTTGTCTAGATTCGTCTGGCAGGTGAGCACGGCGTTGCCATCGTGACCCTGTGTTCCATTCAAACGGTGGATCTGCTCATTAAAAAACGCCATCATATCCTCGTCGGTAGTGCTGAAGGGAATATTGCCCACATACAGCCGACGGGCCTGTCGCGTTACCGTCGCAATGGCCGCCGACTCACCCGTGGGCGGTGCGTCCGGCACAATTCTAGAGGCAATCTGGCCACTTGCCTGCATCGCCTTGTACTGTACGGGCGAGAGATGCTCATAACCCATCGGTGGTATATCCCATGAGGAGTTAATGCGCTCCTTGCGGCGCTTTACCTGGATCGGTTGACTTGTTATGGAACTGGAGCGTGTCGGACGATGCTTGGAATGCGAACGGGAACGAGATCTTCGATTGCGACTACGTGATTGATGCTTTTCTTTGCGACCACGGCCCATAATAAAAATTTGAAAGCTCGTAACACGGTGTAACAGTGCGATAAAAACAAATAAAAATAGATTTTGGCTTATTTTTAATTCCTTTTTTGTGACAGCTCTTTGGAGAACAAAGGCGACTATGTTGTACATTCGGATCTGGTCAAGCATTCTCCCAGGGTTGTATTTTAATTGTGAGTGTACACAAATTTCATCATCGAAATTTACTGTTAATGATTTGAAAATATCATCATGTGCAGGATTTTCACTTAAGTCTTTAAGCTCTAATAATAATTACACCAAAAATTATACACACGTTGAAGCTTAAGTATGAAATAAATTGAAAATTCCTTTATCGTTCTGTTTATAGCCCTTTCTGGCATCAACATTCCAAGCAGACGTCCTAAATATGCAACATTAATTTGATTTAAATATTTCTAATCAAATCAAATATTTGTTGAAATGTTAATTTGAAAGTCTTACAGTTTGTTGAAAGCCGCAATTAAGTCATTTATCATTTATGGAGAATTTAACATAATGGGCTACGCTCGAAATGTTTAGGCTAGCGACAGCGACAGGGACAGAGACAAAAATGTAGCTGCGGTTGCCAACACAATCATTTCATGCGAATCATCATCATAATAATATCCGTTAATATCGCTAATCAATTATAATTAATTGGCAATGTGGCCCGCAGGCCGCGCTAATCGAGAATATTTTCAAATTTTCGATGAAGCTGCGTGTGTCAGGCCCAAAAATTTAAATCTCATTGCGTCCCACTGTGTGAGTGGTGGGTCTCTATGTGTGGTCCCTGATAGATACGGAGGTAGCTTAGGTGTTTAGCATTCCATGGAAACGACTTCATTTTGAAGGCAGCCAGAAAAAGCGAGGCTCAATTAATTCACCAAAGGCGACACAATCAAAATGTCAACTGTCACGACTTTGGAGGCGGAGGAGCAGGAGTCGAAGTTGCGTAGCAAGGGATTGATCCTCCTACGCGAGAGCCCTCAGCAACAACAACAACAACAACTTTGTCGTGAATCAAAAAGGGCATTCGATCGAAAAACTCAAACTGTGTGATAATTAATGTCCAGAGAATTGGGATCCCCTTGAGTTTCAGGGTTCGTGATCATCATCAACTGTGCGTTCTGGGGGTTCAAAAATACATTTTCTGTTGGGTCTCACTTAATGTGCTTGGGATACGAGCAGATAGACAAGGATAATCGCCCTGCCAGCAACCGTTTAATGGACATTTGATGATCAGACGCCGATCGCACAGATAAGAAGATTTATAACGATCTTAAAGATTCCAATAATTCAATGGCAATTGGCACTTGTTAAGTGCAATGCAGAGGACAAAATCTCTGTTGTGTATTGTGATTAATGCTAAATTAAATACATTTCGGCGCTGTTCAAAATCCAATTAATTCCTATTTTTTCAACTGTTTGTTTTTTTATTTAGGTCTCATGAGCTGCGAACGCAATACCAGAACCCATCCCGGCCACATGACAAACGCAATTAATTTGTCCATTTAAATTCAGGCAACGTGTCTGCAGACATTGACGATGACGGAGCCAGCGAAACATTTTTTCGATCGTTCGCTTCGATTTCGATGGTTTTCGGTTCGTTATTATTTGAAGGCGATAAATTAATTTTGAACAAAAAAAGAAAATAATAATATGATAGGACGCAATAAAAATTCATAATAAAGTGCATAGCATGGAAACGAGAAAAAAGAGCACAAAAAACTAATTACAATATTTTTTTTTTATTTATTTATTTTCAAAACTGATTTGGCTTAAAATAAATTCTTTTGAGTGGGGTACTCAGACCTGAAGCGTAAATAATTCAAGCTCCAGCCTGTAGATTTATCTGACCACAATTGGCTGATGTCAATTTTAGATAGAGCTTAAATGTAACTCGCGAGTTCTATATGAAAACATCCATGGCTTAAAATATTTTTTTAGTTGGACGGGCATTTCTAAATTAAATACTCTGATTTCAGTTGCATTCTCGCTAAGCAATGATACGCCTTCGAATTTCAAAACTATAAAATTTTAGAATCCTCTAGCTTTCAGAAAGCTCCTCGCATTTGCTTGTGTTCCCTTTTAAAGCACACAGTTTAAAGCATCACATGCATTAGTCATTGCGAATCCGATTCGCTAATTTTAGGCTTAAAATGTTCACGTTTTGGCTTCTAATAATGTTGTTGCTGACATTTATTCACGGTTTCATGTCGGTTTGCCACCAGAATTTATTACATACACATATCAAACGTGGTCGATGCTGTTAAAATTGCCAACGTTTACGGGTATTTATATTGAAATGTTCATAAATATTATGCTATAAATGCTTTTTATTCAGTGACGGTTAACAATCGCATGAAATGCAAAGTTTTTGACCGCACGCAGAGCTTTTTTATTGGGGTTATGGGAACGATAGATGAATGTCTGTTTGTGCCCAGGGGCAAACCTAATAGAAAGGGGCTAACCAAAACGTCACAACGAATTTGAAGTTTTTTGGTTGCGGCCACTCTGTTCCACGAAAATGGGACTCATTTTTCGACAAACATATGAATAAAAAGTTTTAATGAACTGGTTGGTTGGTCTACTGGTCAATTGGTCGATGGGTCGACGGGTCGATTGGTTGGTTAGTTGGTGGGGCTCTCTGGTTGGGTTGCTCAATCGGTTGATGCGTGTTTTAATTGATTTGTGGCCATAGGCGTGTGAACGTGATTTTATTATCAAATATTTAATGCTGTTAGTTTTAGTAAATTAAATAAATCAACAGAGCAAACACAGCCAACGACAGCTTGGCTGAATCATGACACAGGACGCAGTTTGCTGCTTCTGCTGCTGTTGCATGTTGTATTGTTTTTACTTTTTTGGTGAATGTCAACAAGAAAATTTCAATTTATTTTCTGATGAATCAACAGAAAAACAATTCGCATTGAGTTGTTTTATTTTTTTTTTTTTAGTTGGGTTGCCCTTTGCTCTTATTTGCAGCTTTGCTTTGGCTGTGCACTCGTAAATATCTTTTGAGTGCATCCGCAACTACTTCAGATTACAGATTTCAGCATAACAATTTATTTTGATATGTATTTTTATGCAATTTCTCGACAATTTGTCGTCGCTGCACCCGAAAAGCTGCCTGCATCCTTCATTTCATGTATATATATATATATATATTTTTTTTTTTTTTGCGTGGAATTTGCATCATAAATTGTCAGCAATGTCATAAAATATTTTCTTTTTGTTTGCATTCTTTTTTCATTTTTTGGCAAGCCATGTCGACGTCATCATCATCATCATTGTTATTGTTGTTGTTGTAGTTTTTTATCATTTCATTTCAGTTTTTTGTCCGTTACTCTTGTGTTTTTGCAGCGAAAAATTAAAACTAAAGCGCTTCTAGAGAGAATTTCTAATGACATTCGGAGCGCGACGAAATTATCTGCTTAGAGCTTTTGAACCTTCCGACAGCGAAATGCGACAAAATTCTGTCAGAGCACTCAGTAATCCAATAATATACACAGACGTCTTCAAGGCAGCATCTTGAACTTGTGTCTCCCTTGTAGTTGCCTGCTGGTAATTGCATTTGCAAAGCTCGCAGACTCGCTTTAAGCCTTAACATAAGAGAGGCTATGACGACTGGCAAAGCCTGACTAATATTTGGCCTAGTGTGCTGCCTCTTCAAAGTAGTCAATATCAAAGACTCTCTAACTATAGGACAAAGTTTTCTATATGAAGAAAGGAAAACCCACAACTTCTCTAAGTACTCAAACTAATACACACCCTTCCTGGTCTTCACGTACAAACACACCCACACACAAGTAATCCACCCTGCGGCAGTTGCCCTCTGTGGTCTTTACTGGGGTTTTGCTTCTCTAGCTGCATTTTCACTCTCTATTTATTTGCTGGTCTTTCCCTCTCTTAAATTTAACCCTTGAACGCACTTCATGAATTGATTTCTATGCATTGTTGTTTCTGCTCCCCCTTTAGAAACTTTAACGGCAAAATTTATGTTTTTCCTTTAGCCATTATGGTAGAAATTGTTATAATTCAATAACAAGATTCTTGGCTCTAGAGTCTCTTGCCCCTGCAATGTGCTTTGTTCTGATTCCCATTTCATGGTCTTCCACAGAATGCGTTAAAATCAATTCAGAATTTATGCGATTTCGCTTGTAATTTATTTTATGAATGTTTAATAATCTGTGCACTGGATAAATTTATGACAATTGCATGTTAATTGCCTGCTTGGCGCCGATATGTCAGTCAAACACAGTTGCTGCGGTGCCCATGGGGGCCTTGAATAGTGGGTGTCGCTGAGGGACATTTGACTGAACGCTCATTTTGTTTACATTCAATTTCATAAGTGGCACTAGGGAGGCCAGCCAGAGGAGCACCAACTGTTGTCCATTGTTGACTCAGAGCTGAGCTGAGCTTTGACGCCCCATCCCCTTGCATTAGCTGGTGGGGCGATAGCTGTTGACATGCTGAGCACATTATTAGACGCCCTTTCAAGTTTACGTTATTGATTCCAAGTTTGTTCAGGCATTTTAAAAAAATGAATGGTCGCCCCGGACTTATAGCTTTGTGTGGCGTCTGGGAATTGTGTAAGTGAAAGCTGATTAATAATGAGCATTTATTGAGGGGCAATTACTGTGCAACGAGAACAGGCTGCTCTTTTGAAGTACTTCAGGATTATGGTGGAGCAATTGAGTTGTTGTTATCTTTCTTCTTTTTAATATGCACAGTTCCCGGCTAACAGATACCCCTTAACTACGCGCCGATTATATGGAAATGGGAGCAGATACCAAAAAATTATGAACATACACAGAACGGTGAAAAGATGGAGAATATATATTGAAAATTTAAAATCTTTAACGCTTGTAGGTTTCGAGATCACAGAGCGATAGTCAGGCATATATAGATTGCAATACTTTATGTCATAAACGTTTCCTGCTGTTTGAACTTTTGCACAAAACCAATTTACCCTTTTTACCAATTTACATTTACATAGGTCCAGGGCAAAAAAAAAACAAGTTTTTTGCCCCTCTGATTGCATTCTGACCTCCATTTGGGCACATCTGCTGTAC